ATGTTTAATCCGGATGTCAATAGAGAATGACTCAAACTAAAAATTTTGCCCGCTTGAATACTTAAAAAAAAAGACATTTGGTGATTTTACCCAGCCTAAAAAATAATGTTGGTTTCGCTCGTGGATGTGATGTCAACTCAATTGAGTTAATGAAAAGTGACAAATTTAATCGATTCGGTTTGACTAAAAAATATATAGAAAAAGTCAATGAAGTCAGACACTGCTAGACAACCTAAAAGAAAAGAAAAAGGGAAATCAATAGATCGGACTATCACGAGAACTATGGTGAACCGAGGGTTTTACTCGTACTCCCATTGCTTCTTCTCCTTCCATCATCGTAGTAGTCTGAGTCCTCCAAGCATCACCGAATAGCGGCTCATCCTTGCTCATCTCATACCCGCAGGCCCTAACCTTATTCTATCAAACACTCATAAAAAGAAAACCCTAATAAAATCTGCAAAATATATGTTACTTTAACATGCTCATTTGCACAAAATAATATTAAACTAAAAGGAAATTGATAAATCTAGGCAAACAATAATCATCCTAAGTGTCAATTTATAAGGATAAAAGCATAGATTCATATACATTTAATCAAAGCATGCAATAGAAATAGAGAAGACACACACTGTCCATCATCGACATGAGCTAGACTTGGTTGTGGATTAGCAAGCTGTGTAGAAGTGTTGTCTGTGAGGCAGGCATTCTTGTCCTTGTGTTTGATTTATGCTTTAAATTTGAAGCTCAATTTCTTACAATTGGATGATTTAATTCTAAGTTCTTAAAATATTGTGTACATGTTTACATTTTTAATTTTAGTATGTGTTTTCGTTTAGTTTTAATGATTCGGTTGCGGGCAGTGAAGAGCTTATGAGGGGATTAACGTCGAAAATAGTGTCTGTTAATTTTGACTCTAGTAAGCTTAGTTATCGTCGGGCATGGACGCCGCTAATCTGGCGCTAATGTGTTGACTTATTTATGTTTTGAGACGGCACGTGACGTTAAACAGACGCAAATCAGACACTAGATTTGCTTTGAAGAAAATTTTCGGACGTTGATTTAGTATCTAATCCGTTGTTGTTGTAATGTACAAGTTGTCATTTTCCTCTACAAGTTGACATTGATTCCGGACGTAATATTTTTTTCAAGAGAAGAAATACTCCTTCAGAATCTGAAATTGTACTTCATATTTCACTTGAATACAATCATGTTGTGGCCCATATTTTAGATTTAGATTAATTTTTTCATTATAATGTGTTGTCCAAAATTACTATTTTGTGTTAAAAACGCATGTATCTAATTTTAATTGTTCTTTTAAGTATTTCAAGAACATATTTTTGTCACTAAAATATGATTTTATTTCATTATTCTCTTAAGTAGAATCACGTTGTAGTGCACAGTTTATGTTTGAATAAAACTTAATATCATTATGTGTTGTCCGGATCCCATCAAAACTCTGTAGTTAAGTGTGCTTAGGTGAAAGTAGTACTATGATAGGTGCCTCCTGAGAAGTCCTCAGATCCCATCAAAACTCTGTAGTTAAGTGTGCTTAGGCGAAAGTAGTACTATGATAGGTGCCTCCTGAGAAGTCCTCATGTTGCACCCCTCTATTTTATTATCTCGGGTCTATTTTTCAAAAAGATGGTGATATAGATGGGGATGTTATTAGTAGGATTCAAGTTTGTTGATTGAAGTGGATGAATGCTTCAGGAAAATTGTGTGATCAAAAAAGGTACCACTTAGACTGAAAGGAAAATTTTATAAGATGGTGGTGAGACCTGCAATGCTCTATGGCGCGGAATGTTGGCCTTTAAAAGAGAGACATACTACTAAGTTAAGTGTTGCCGAGATGAGAATGATTAGATGGATGAGTGGATTTACGGTTAGAGATCAAATGCAAAATTAATATATTTGTGATAGGTTTAGTGTTGCTCCAGTGACAGACAAACTTTGAAAGAGTTGTCTTAAATGGTTTGGTCACATCAAACATCAACCATCTAATGACCCTATTAGGAGAGTAGATGTTTTAGGTTCGACTTAGCTTTGAATACAACATTGCTTTAGACACTAGACTTGGCCTTGTCTTTCTAATCTTGAATTTTAGGACAATTTTAATCTTCAACATATCTTGTTTAGAGATTTTTTTTAATATTTTCTTCACAACAACACTGTTTTAATTCAATACAACTAAGTTGGAGTACATATTTTGTTATGTCATTAAATTTGTTATCATAATTTGTTGCTCAATCTTGCTATTAGAAGGTTAGAAACACATGCATTTAATATTATTTTTTCTATTTTAGCTAAGGGTAAGCATTCAGTCAGTTTGGATGGTTTGATTTGAGTAAACTGACTTCAATCGAAATCTAAAATCCAAAGTACTAAACCAAATAAAATTTTGATAAAACCAAACTAGTCAAATCGAACTTTAATTCATTTTAAACAGTTCAATTTTGCATAAACCAAATATAGTTTGAAGATATAAATCTATAATGATAACGAGAGAAAATAAAGATTACTGAGCGATGATTATGTAATATTGATCATTAAAGAGCTTACTTCTAAACATTTCAAGAAAGATTTACTTAAAAATTTTAATTTTTGGTTTATTCGGTTAAATAAGAAATAAAGTCAAAAACTAAACTTTAACAATTTAAAATCATAATTGATTTTTTTTTTAGTTGAGCCAAATCAACCAAATTGCCTTGATTTGGTTCGATTTTTCTTCAGTACAATCAAATTATAATGTGCATTTTAGCATGAAGTTAAGTTTCTTATCGTAATGTTTTGTTCAAACTTGTTATTAGATGGCTAGAAATACACAACTTCGATATTAATTACATGTTTTTTGTAATTTGGCATAATTTTATCTTCAATATAACTACTATTTCACCATTTTTTTCCTTGAATACAACATTGTTTTATACACTAGACTCATCAATGACATTCTAATCTTATTTTTAGAACATTTTTAGTCTTTATTATGTTTAGTTTAAAGATTATTAATATATATTCTTCACAACAACATGTTTTTTTTTTTTCCATTTTTTTTATTGTGTTTAACACTTAGACACATTACTTATTCTTTGTTTTTATCATGTTGCCCTGACATCATAAGAAGAGAATAAGCCAAAAAAGAAAAGAGTTGTCCTAAAGAACAAAAGGGTACTTACTCTTAGGTGTGAACCATCAACATTTAGAGATATACGTGATGAATTTGCCTAGCACATTACTGAGGGAATGTTAGTAATTTTGAGGAATATCCATAGTGATCACTATATAAGGGTGTCGCCACTTCAATACGATGTACCTTTTGTAATTAATCTTTTGAATTTTTGGGATGTTCAGAAGCTTATTTTTTTTTATTTCGGTAGACATGGGTTGAGATTCATTGTAGATGAAGTTGGTCTTACGATTGGGTTTTCTAACAAATAGTAGAAGTCACTTGGATCAGCTCTGAGGCAATCAATGAGGAGAAAATCCTAGAATCAAAGTTAGGCTAAAAATTTAGTTTGAAGATCATTAATCACTAAAAATTTATTTGAATTTGAGCTTGGATTGAGATCGAATAAAAAATAATGAGCCAAGTAATAATCCAAACCCTTAATTGGGCTTCAATCTTATCGATCAACTCATGATCAAATAAAAAACATCATGCTTCATGAATCACATGGCCACGCCTTAAGATCAAATTGGTGGGGAATAGAAAAAGCAGAGCCAAGTAATAATCCAAACCCTTAATTGGGCTTCAGTCTTATCGATCAACTCGTGATCAAATAAAATACATCACGCTTCATGAATCACATGGCCACGCTTTAAGATCAAATTGGTGGGGAATAGAAAAAGCAGAATCACAAACCGTATATGTGTTTTGCAGGTTAATCATAAATCCTTCTCATTTGAATCATTCCCTAGTTTTGTTTCATCTACGCCTCTCAACCTTTGCTCTCTTCCATCTACCCTTTTTGAAATCTATAATCCTGGGTGAGGAATCATGCCTCCAGCAGTCAAGCGAGCCTCACATGTTCAATTGTTTCATTCATTTGTTGCTTGATATCCTTCTCTTCGACCTCAGCTTCTCTTTTTGCTCTAATCAGTTACTTTCTTCTCTCAATCTAGCATTTTTCATCACAGATTTGCATCAATTGGATCACTACTTTATTCTTGTAAATGTTTATATGTTTTCTCATGTTGACAATAAGAAAAGCTTCATTTTGTTGATTTAGAAGTTCTTAGGACTATTTGGTTCATTTGTCAATTGCATACTTGCATATGGTGTTGAGTGTTGACCATTATGAATATGATGGTTATGTTTTTTTTTTTTTTTTTTTTTTTTTTGTTTCATCAAGCAATTAAAATGTTGGTTAAAGTCATTTCTATAAATAGGCTTTACATTACTAATGTGGTTGAAGCTCTTAGGATTATGTGATTTATTTATTGGTTGCATACTTATATTTGGTTTTGAGAGTTGAACATTATGAAAGACGATGGTTGTGTTATTCAAGAGCCAAAAATGACATTCCAATTGGCTCATTTGCAACACCTGCCAGCTTAAAAATCGCTCATTTTTTTATCCAAGTCAAATCGAACATAGATGGAATTGATCTTTGAGTCAAATTCAATCCTTATAATGTCAGCTCGATCGAGTTTGAGCCACCCTTGTATCGGCTCAAAATTGGATCATTCACAACCCTAATCAAAGCACGAGACTCTAATGCGGTGGCAGCATTCATCGGCAACACTAGCATTACAACATTGGATATGGAACTCAAGAACAGTCTTTCAGGTGGGTTTGGTGCATCAGCAACTTAGAGCACAGTGTTGCAACCCTAGTGGCATGGTGCTGCATGTTGCATAGTAGAGCCACAATGCTAAGCTAAATTATAATATTTTAGGTGCTTTGTTTTAAATGTTTTAATACAACCATAGATAATTGAATGCTAAAACATCTCAATTAAGACAAAAACATTAAAATAATATTTTATTAAAAAAAGGGTTCATACATGCACTTTGGAAAACACAAAAAGCAAACAGGAAAAAACTAGAAAAATGAGCTTAGTACTCTACCCTCATGTCCTCTTGAACATTATTGTCATCCATTAGAATAACATTCACCTCACATTTTACTATGTTAAGAACTCTGTAATAAGTGATATATATATTAGTTTTTTTAAAAGCAAATCGGTATTTGACAGAGGCCTAAATACCGATTTCCCATGCGCTAGGCCCCATGATGAGAGTCTGCGCCATGTTTCTAAACATTTGGGAACCCAGCACCACTAGGTTCATTTGTTCTTGAAAATGCAAAATCTTAATATAGTAAAGAGCTGATTAATCAAGTTCTTGATCCAAACATCTGAGTAACTAAATCATATTGATTAGTTGAGATTCGGGCTTCTTCATGCTCTGAAGAAATTGAGGGTCTGTGGTTATGTTCTCCTTCGTACAATATTGTTATATTGTGGGGCTCATTTGGTGCCCACTCCACCTTCTTCTTCGCCTGACAATTCATGCTCCTACATTTGAAATAACCCCTGCATTTATTCATATTTATCTATTAAATTTATAATGTATTTTTCATGTCCATAAAATCAAAACACGTGTGCATCTCTCTCTCTCTCTCTATATATATATATGCATGCATAAGATAGTTGTTATACACAGGCGATTATTACGTCTGGAATCTACACATGCAGATTGGTGATATTTTGATAGTATTCGTAGTATTTTTTCACTCCAGTACCACCAATAATATCTAAATACTATGGAATCCGCACCTATCTTATCTGGATGTAATAATTTTTCATTATAAACACACATGTTTAATTATATTTACGTACCTATTCTTCTGTCTCCTTCTAATATACTTTTGCCCATATTTCTTCCATTTATATTCATCTTCTGGGATTGCAATTGGACTATTGTTCCATTCAAGTGCTGCTCTTTGCCTCCGCACTTGTTCTTCAACACTGTTTATATATATATATATATATATAAAGATGAACATCATTAGTGTAAATAATATCATAAGCATTTTTTGAATTAAACTTGATAAAAAGTAGGAGCCCAAGGAAAGAAAAAGTCCAAAAAAAAAGGCAAATTCAAGAAATTAATTAAATAGCCAGCTACACGTGCAATATTCATAATTAAAACATATTTTAATTTCAGCATATGGCCATCCTTATAATTAAGCACCACATGACTATCTTGGGGACAGACAGACATGAATTAGAAAGCTACTTTTATCTATACCAGATGAACCTTTGCCCCCCACCAAAAAAAGTTCTATTTTTCTAATATATATATGTACATATGTTGTCAGTCGTGACCTGTTCGTAGAGCAACCTGTTTGAAGGTCGTGAGTCCCCTCAGATCATGGGTTTGAATCCCTTTCTAGCTAGCTTGTCGGCAGTGAGAACTGTCCTCGAACAGTTATGCACATGAGGGTGGCCGGGAGCTCATATAATAGCCTCTGACCAATTTTTTGATATATATATATATATATATATGCCTTAATGTCATGATTTATATATGAAGAGGTGTAATTCAGTTATAGAAACGTGATGATGGTGTTATTTTTTAAAATTTAGTAGGCATGAAAAGATGGGGGCATTTTCATACACATAGCATATAACTCTTATGCAACATATCTTACACCTAAAATTTTATATTTACACACATAACCCTCAAATCTTAGCATCAAATAAAATATATAGCACTATTATCACATCTTAAACTGACATGCATATTTTCATGTGTATTTTTAGAGCACCGAAGTACTATATATATATGCAAATATGAAAGTTTAGGCATGAGATAATTTCAATATAAAAGACAGAAAAGAGAGTCAATGCTTAAAAGTTAGATAGAGCATGAAATCATTCTTTATAGCATATATTAAGCTGCAGTATTAACTAAGTCTGCATAACAAGTTATGTTTTGCAGAAAAAAACATTTAAAAGATCTTCATCTTACCATTTTTCATGCATGGATTTACTAAAAGAAGTAATTTTTATGACAAAAAACTGCTATCTTGGCATAAAAGTTAGCTTTTTTAAGAAAATAAATCAAAAAATGAAAAGAAAAATAAAGAATTAAAAGAACTTACTTGATGGTGGCTTCAGAAGATGCCATGGATTCCATAGAAGAGAGAAACTGTAATGATTTGAAGAAGAAGAAGAAGAAGATGAAGATGAAGAAGGAGGAGGAGGAGGAGGAGGAGGAGAGAAGAAAAGGGTATGGGGCTAAATTAACAGCTGTGTGGCAATGGAGGATGAGATGTAGTTTCTGGGAAGAAGAGGGCTGGACTTTTTGAAGCAAGAAGAAAATTATTTTGTTATGATTTATTTGTACTGTGGAGATTTACATGCTTTAACTGAGCATAAGAAAAAAAGATATTTAAAAAAAAAAAATTAAAAACAAGATATTAGTTAGAGACATGTTGACTCCAGATTTGTCCTATGGGCATGCCCAGGGATGGGAGCGGTAGGGATTAGGGGGAGGTATAAAGGAAATAAAAGAGCATGCACGGACTTGTCTCCTAGGGGCGAACTGAGATATTCACGGGCTCTGTGATCAGGCTCCGTGGTCCATTTTATATATGAAAGTAAAGATTACAAAGAAGAAGGGGTGAGAGTTATCCCTACAGAGCATGACTCTAAACAAAAAAAGCCAGAAAACCTCATTTAGATGCATTAGACCATCTATTTATAGAAGGTAAGAGGATCTCAAAATATAAAATTATATGTATTCCCCTGCTTTTGAAAGGTTTACAAAGTATTGTCATTTTTTGTCGTGTTTATTTTGTATTTGTAACTGATATGGGCGTCTTTTGGTATTTTTGGATCCTTTAGTCGGCAGACACTTGAATTAATCGACCAAGCTGGTGTCGGTCGGCTATCTTTCTGGGAAGTGGGGCGATCTTTGAGGGGAGTGTTCAGAGAGTAGTGCACAGTGGTACTTATGGAGTTATCTGCTCTCGACTTCTCTAGATAGGTCTTCAGTCGGCCAGCTTTGGAATGGTCGGTTGGCTGTGAGGTCTCTGGTCGATCAACTTCATGAACAATACTTTTTGATTTGGACCGTCACTGCTTCGAGATTTGTGCATGTTCTTTTTCGGTGTACATTAATATCATTGTTTCAAAATATTAAGATATTGTGGCTAATTTGTATATAATTTACTAGCTTAATTTCTCTTAAATAAACTTTAATAGATTTTAGATTGGATAACTACCATTTTAACTTCATAAAAACTATTTTTTTTTTAGTTAATTTTCTTTCTTTTAAAACCATGCTTGATTACATACGTTTAAAAAAATTCTTTTATAATTACATATTTAACACTTAATTTTAATTTTTACATTTATATCATCCAAATTTTTCGTATCACATTAAAAATATCACTAATTTAAAATTTTAAAAGTGAAATATATCTTCTCATACATTAGTGTATATAGGGGCGAGCTATATTTTGAGCTCAAAAAGTGTGTTTGTGTTCGGCTCGTTTGTTTAAAGAGCCGAACACGAGTCATTCACGAAACAAAGAGTCTGTTTGCCAACCATAATCACGTAGTCATAAGATGTTAAGGATTGGGGTATCATTTAAAACATTATTTGAATTTAAATTAAATTTTTATTCTATTTTCTTAATCAATATTTTAATTGATTATAAATCTTTGTAGCCTTGTAGTCAATTAGATTTTTTAAATTACTACTTAATATATATATATATAAACTTAATGAGTAGTATTTCGAGCCAAAAACGAGCCGAACACGAAATAACAGTATTTGTTCGTGTTATTCGCGTTCGGGTCGTTAACTTAGCGAATGAGCAGAACACAAGCTTCTTAATAAGCCGAACACGAGCTGTTCGTGAACAACGAGTCGTTTTGACAGCCCTAAGTGTATATATACAATAAAGTTTGAGGGTTGGAAATGTAAATATATAAGTTTTGTGTGGCATGAATGTAAATATTCCTTTAATTTATAAATAATTTAATTGGCTGATGCTATTTTCATCCTCATTAAAATCTTCAATTATACGTTCTTATCGGGATTGAACACGGAGCTGCCCTGACCGGACATGACGTCACGTAAATGATGTCATCATTTGATAACTTCACCCGAATTTCCCGATAAGTGGGCCAGAATATTCACGCAGGCTTGGCGGCTTGGGGTTTTTCAAAGGTATTTAATTTTGGGTGGAATAGAAAACGGATCTTGTCCGTTGGATTGATGGGGATCAATGGCGACCGTTCATTTATGTGTTCGTGATGGCCCCGTTATAGGTTATGGATAAGGTTGCTATTCCAACTAAACACATTATTATGGATTTTGATTTATGGAATTAGAGTTTTCAAAAATTTATCTTTGATGATAATAAAGTGATTATTTATAATCTTTATTAAAATAATAATTTTAATTATTATTATTATTATTATTTAATTATTTATATATAAATATTATTGAATTTATTTTGAGATAAGTATAATAAAATTTAAATAAATTTAATGATTAAGTCGTTCATCATGATATAAGGTTTTCATTTTTATTTGATGATGTGATTTGTGATTGGTGAAAAATATAAATTATTATTATTTATTTATTTTAACAATCAATGCCTTATATTGAGCATTAAAGAAAAATTAGCTAAACTTTGAACTTATATGAAAAACATGCTTGTTTTGGATACTTTATGATAAACATGAAATTTTATAGTGCTTTAAGAAATCAATATCAAATGAATTTTCATAAGCATGTATACCTTTTATTCAATTGGTACCATAAAAAATATGTTGATTATCAGCAAAAAAATTAATGGACAAGAGTCTTTGTTTCAGTTGGTAATAAAAATTATCGGACGTGATTGCCGGTTGAATTTCGGCTGATAATTGTTAGTCGGGAAACTGCTTATTGGAAGGGGTTGAATTTCAGAGGGTAATCAGACATGCTGAATATTGGTTGATTTAGTTGAAAATAAGAATAATGGTGAATCCTTTTGTCGATTCCGAGAAAGGAAAGAGAAGCATGAGAGAAAGAGGATACATGGAAATGTAAGAAGAGAAGAAACAATCACTTAGTAAACTGTATAACTAGAAGAAAAGATACAGACTTATTTATAGTTACAGAACTTAAGAGAAGTAAGCCAAAATATGACTGGAAATTGCATAAATTTATTTTCTTATAGGCTACCGTATATATCTATATATAAATATTCGTTAAAACTGCCTATCAAGTTGATAGTTTGTGTGGGAAGTATCAGCTATTACCAGCTTGTTGTAGAGAGGGATGAATTTCATGAAGTTAAGAGAATTGGTGAAAATGTCTGTGAGAGATTAGTAGTAGCTAAGTGATGGAAGGTGATATATTTTTTGATGATGCAGCCCCGATTGAAGTGTACATAGATTTTGATATGTTATATTCTAGCCTGAAATTATGGATTATTTAAAAGTGTCAAAGCTGAGATATTGTTGTATTAGATTGGAGTTGGTCCTGTAGGATGAATTTAGAAGTCTTAAAGTTGTCTTTGTAGTCAAACAATGTCGACTGCAGCAGTGGATAGAGCTCGATATTCATCTTCAGTCGAAGATCGAGGCACAGTTGTTTGCTTATTGGGGCAACAGGAGATGAGGGTGGTCCTGAGGAATGCACAATATCCAGTAGTGGATTTGTGATTAACCGGGTCACCAACCCAATCAGATTCTGAGAAGGTTTGGAGAGTGAAGTCGCCTTATTGTTGAATCCTTTGATGAACTATAGTAGTCGTTTGAGTTAGATGAAGTGTTTATTTAGAGGTTGATGAAAATTTTAACAGAATTTGTTTACCAAAAATTTGAGATCAGGTTTTGTTAGTGTGAGGTATTGGAAAGAGCCAACTAACTGTCTATAGAGTTAAGGATTGTCATAAACATGGTCATCGGTGGGAGAAGAGATTACCTTAGTGAGCATAGAATTTTTCATGGATTTGCATCTTAGCAATCTTGCTTTCTTGAGGGTGTCATCGACGTACTTGGACTGACTAAGGTGTTGACCGGTTGAATTGGGAGTAATTCAGATGTCGAGAAACATATTGGGCTGATCGAGAGTTTTAAATTGAAAGTGTTAATGTAATTAATTAAAAATATGAGTGAGGAAGATGGAATCTTTTTCGATAATGAGTATGTCATCACGTATATTAAAATGTAACTTTCATGATTGGATGTCATAGAAACCATGAGGGTTGGATTGACATTATTGATTTGCAAGTCTAATGGTTGTAAGGTGGACGTTAAAGTAAATTATCATTGTCGTTAGAATTGTTTAAGGCCATATATGTTGTGAAAATTGAAGCGGAATGAAACAGGAATCGACACAAACCAGAAGAAGAACACAGAGATTTAACGAGGTTCGGTAAAGAATTGCCTACGTCCTCGGGAGCAAGCAGCAGTTTCACTTTTTCAGAGAAGTTACAATACATCCCATAGGGTTACACATATATATAGACATATACCAATCCTCGGATAAAATTACAATCACGCCCTCGCTCCCCCCAACCCCCTTTATTCCAAGAGACACTCCTTTTCACCGGGAGACACACCTCTTCACCAAGAAACTCCAACTTCCTAGATATGAGCCATACCTAACAATATAACAGTTTCTTCAGGAGACAAACATGGGTTGGTTTGGTGGAATCTTCAAATTTGATTGGTTACAACATGAATAAGGTTTCTTGCAGTGAACCATGAAGAAAGGCATTAGATATGTCGAGTTGGATAATTTCTCACTTATTAGAAGTAGCCACCATTAAAAGAGTGTGTATGGTTGGAAATTTGGCAACATGAATGAAGGCTTGATCATAGTCGATTCAATGTTGTTGTTTGTACCTCTATGCCACAAGTTTTGCCTTGTGTTAGAGAATAATACCATCTGAATTTCGCTTTGTTTTATAGGTCCATCAACCACATTTTGTGCTTATGAGTGAATTAGGATCCATGTCCCTTAAGAGAGAAGAGCTTGGAACTCCTCATAAATGACTTTGTGTCAATGTGAGTGCCTAATGATCATATTATAAGAGGTTGGGTTCTTGGGGTTATCGGTGAGGGTGAGATGAAGATCTATTGAATTTAAACCAAGTGAGCATTGTGTGAGTGGTAGTTTGATGCTGAGTTTTTTTAAAGGGACTGGGTGAGGCTAGAGAGCTTGGGATGTAAGTTGTTGTGCTTTTTCGATTGATGTGGGGTGTGGAAGGTTGATTTTTATAAAGTAATGGTGATGGGATGTGGTTTTTTCAAGCTTGAGGTACAGTTACGGTCGTTTGGGAAGGAATGG